AAAGGGGGGGGGGGGGGGGGGGGGGGGAAATTTGTTTGCTTTTTGGTTTCCATTTTTAGTAGAAAATCCCCCAGTGTGAAATAACTGCCTAGGGAATTAAAAAAAAAGAAGCTAGAATTCTTTTGAGTTTCCCCTTCTCTTTTTAAAAGTGCTATATGAAAATGTGATAAGGCAGAAAAAATACAGTTCCTATTTTATTTTATTCTTTTTGTAAAAAATCTGAGTTAAATTATTGGTGTCTTATTTTGAGAACATCTCAACTAGTCTTACTCTAAAACTGAAGGTAGGTGTTGAATTATTTCTCCTTTATTCCAGGAGAATAGTTGGACACATATGCACCCTCGCCTAACTCATCAGTATTTCACACCGCTGGCTATTGAATGCAACGTTATGTTTGAAAACAAATTCTCCGTAACTGAAAGTAGTACGAAGTATAAAGAAAAGGAAAGAAAGCGTCTCTCTTGCTGTTAGAAAAAATTCTACGGGCCAATCTTTTCCACCGGATAGCACTTGCTGCCCCAACTACTGCCCCCAACTCTTGGCATCACAATAGCCACATTCCTGCCTAAATACTGCTAGAGATTTTTTTTTTTTCCCCCAGAACAATCAAACCTGTCTTCTTTGCTATGTAACAGAGTAACTTGGTAGTGTGTTAAAGAACACTGCTACTATACTTTAAAAACTACTGAATGGCAGAACACATCTTGATATAAAATCTAGCACCCCTCAAGAGTCACTTTCTTTCCTCTATTACACTCAACATGTGCTGGAGACTTTAGACTTACTTTAAGACTAAATGCAAGTTAGCAGATAGCCGTGGATCTGTAAACTGCGTTGTCCTGTTGTTATGGTCAACAAAATAAACTCTGCCTGTTGCTGTATTTCGGATCTCCCATCCAGGAGGCAGTGGACCAAGCTCTTCACAATTGATGTTGCTAAGATCCCTGTGAAAACAAATATAAAATGAAAAATACCTCAGCATTTGGCCTCTGAGCCAAACAAGCGTAAATGTAACAGAACAATTCCATGAAGTCTGAGAAAATGTATTGTTTCAGAAACTTGATCTGTTCAGCTGGAATCTCTACTCCCAAGGTGCAAGCCCACCAAAGAAAAAACACACACCCCAGAACACATGCTGCGGGGAAAAAAATTTCTTATCAAATAACTTTCATTTTTACAAAGTAACTTCAAATGTCACATTAATACAGGCTTAAAACAAAAATAAAGACCATTGCCATATTTGCCAAAATGGAATTGCAGTTCTACAGCAATTCTGACAGAAAGCATTTTTAAAACAACATTAGTCATGTAAGGAACTCTGAATCACACTTTAAAAACTCCTACAAAACAAAACTATATTTCTGAAGAGTTATACTTTCCATGAAGAATTACACATGGGATATGTGTGTATAGCACAGGTGGTTTTGCCCTAAAACCCCAAGTGCTAATGGGAAGCAAAAAACTCTCTTAACAAAATATTTCAAATAAAATACTATATGAACAATGACTCAGCTCTGCCCTGACCAATTGAGAGATAGCTTAATGGGTTCTCAAGAAAATTCTGCTGAAATGAGGAAGATGCGGATTCATTCCAGAGGTTCACTGAAAACAAATACTAGTCTTCAAAAATGTACACTTACTGATTTTTCATGTATGTAATTCACACCTCAGATACACCTTTAAAAAGAGCTGCACTTGACAGTGTGAGGTAAGTCTTCAGATCTCCCAGTATCATGTGAGTTGAGGCGAGGAAAGAGCCGAGGGACAGAATGGCTAAAAAGATGCCGTCTGCAGGGACTCAAAAGGCTGAGAAGCCACTAATGGAAATACAAGGCTCTGGGATTGAACTTCTGCTGATATTACCCATATACACACTGCTGCTGAACTGTAAGGCTTATTTTTCTTTACTAAATGACTGTGGCATATTAGCATAAAAATACAATATTCCTTAGAAATGACAAACTCTATCATCATGCAAACAGCCAAATTTTGTTCTCAGAGACACTCATGCAGTTTCTGCTGCCACACCTAAGAGCAGTGCTAACTTAGATTTCATACAGAACTATTACATCGCAAACTTAATAAGTTCTTAATATAATTTTTTTAGAGAAGTCTAGTTTCTAGTTTTTTATAATACGCAAGTCACAGACTTCCTAATGCACAACTACCAGCTGCATCGCACCCTCAAGTCTGCAGATAACACATCAAAGCAAAGCATATTCTTGTAACACAAAAGCAGTAATAAAAACAAAAGAATCATTCGAAAATACAATGAAGTTACAGCCATGAGGTGCTTTATCCTTCCTGGGATATGCATTTCCATGGGAACGAACACCAGCAGCAACTGACAAAGTTGCTACAGTTCTCATAAATGCCAACACTGGCTGCTAATTTCAAATCACACACACTATTTTACAACACCATCCACAGACTTTAGGAGGTAATCATTTTCAACAGGATTTCTTGGGTTTTTTTTAAAGAACAATCAGATGCTAACAATAATTTCTGTTATCATTCCTTCCTTTCAAACACATCAGAAATAATCACGTGTACAATCGTGTACACAGGTGTATTGTGTAAATAAGGACACTAAACTAAAAGGACACTTCGGATTTATTTTCTCTTAAGTGTTGAGATAGCTGCAACAGAAATAGTGGTTTGAGTATTTTCATCACAGGTCAGTCTCTCTCAGCTTCTCTACCCGTTTGCCCCTCTCCCCCATATTTTTTCCCATTACATGCTGCTAATGAGATGCTTGAAAGCATGTATGATTGGTCTAGGAATATCCATGTTAGAGGATTATTTAAAAAATAATTAATTTCTGCTCTGTAACAGGAAACCTGCTGTAAAAAAGTCTGTGCATTTTTAGATGCTTGCTACCATACTCAAATGTAAAAAAACCTCCCTTTTTTTCTTCCTTTTTTTAAAAAAAAACAGCATCCTGGCACTTCAAGCATAACTCGCCATTTCAGCTCCTAGGCTTTCTATGACCCGGTGCCTCCAATCAGTTTCTTCAAAATGTACCAAGTTTCCCATTCCTTGAGTAAATTACGTTTGGTAGTCTGACCATAGGACAATTAATTCTCACAGACAAGTAAATTTAAGCTAATTCAATTATGAGACTGTAGTTCACTGCAAACAGTGTGTCTAAACATACAAAGGTCATCCACTAGATTTTCCAGGTTCTCCCCTTCGTCTGCTCCTCCACCAAAAATGATCACATTTGTCTAGCCTATTTGTCACCAAGTTTGTTCTTCATAAATATATGCTGCCAATTTCTCAGGTCTTGTTAAATTCGAAAGCCTGAATTAAAAACCAAAACCAACCCAGTTTTTACGGAAGTATCTCAATAAACCTAAATTTTTGCAAGTGCTCAGATCCTACTTTTTGTTTCGTTATTTTGCAAAGTATTAAAACCTGGACTTGGCTATAATTCACATGCAAGATCTATAACCAGTTAACTATACCTGTTTTGAAAACAGCACTGTAATTTATTTCTTGATTTTCTATCCTTGCATTAAAATAACAACTTGAAGAACTGAGGAAGAGAGACTAATTTACTTTGATGAATGACTTGTTAAAACGATATATTAGGGGCCAAGAGTCAGAAATATAATAGTAGAGAAAACTCTGAGGAGAGTACTGCTTAAACTATTTTGATTTGACACCTTAAGGATACTTCCACCATTTCTTACCTAGGTACTCTTGGATCATGCCACGTGCTAACACCAGTCTGAGTATGCAGAAAATAGACCTGACCTTGCTGAGTCGTCCTTTGCTCTGTGAAATCAAAATAAATTAATACCTATAAGAACAAAAAATACAATACAAAAATTCACAGACTGATTTCCCCAAACTAAGGAACCAAAAGGATCTTACATATGAGGAGAAGACACAACCCATTTTCCCAGTTTCTTGGGAGGCCTACAATTAAAAAATTTTAATTTTCATACCATATCCTTCAGGTAAATCAGGAGGAGTGTGCAAGTGTGTCCTGCTCATGTAATTTCTGTGCCTCTGTGACCTGACTCTCCTCTCCGCCAGGCGGGGATCTGACGACTGCCCACAGGTCGCACCGTTCGTTCCTGTAATTGGAGTGTTCTCGTCCACAAAACAGCTCAGCGGTCTGCCTGGACTGGAGTATTCAGATGCTGGCCTGTGGGGAAAAAGGTGAAAATCGCATTGCTGACTGGACACGGGACTACACAACACACTTTATGGAAGCTTCATCTGAGGGCTCTCAGGAAATCTTTGTGGACGGCAGAACTGAGCAGTTGACTTGTCGAGCAGGATACCTCGATGACAGGCAGAAAGCTTCTATTTGCTCCCACTGGTTCATCCCAGCGTAATTAGTAAACCTCCTCACCTATATTAGGGTCTGACCTGACACTTCGTATATGATGCTGCTGGATCAAGATCATATCAAATGATCACATGAGCACTTCCCACCTTAAAAAAAACAGAGTGCAGAGAGTAAAATATTTTTTTTTTTTTTTTTTTTTTTTTTAAATGAGCAGCATACTGCCCAGACTTTCTCGCTTTGCCTTCATAGGGCTGAGGAAGTGAGCAGGCCTTGTTATTCCTTCTAATTTTTAAGGAAGGTAATTATACGAGGATGGTGAAAAAGGGCTAAGCAAGATAAAAAACAGTTGTTCTTGAGAGCTTGACTGCAAGAGGAAACATCGAATTACGTGGTTTCATATCTCAATGCTGCTTTCCAAAGGATTTAAAATGGGTTAAAGGGGGCTTGATAAGGACACAGGAAATCACAAAACAAACTATATATTTTGCATCTGTTTTTCTACCGTAAATGTGTCTAAAGCTTAGAATAGGTGTTTTAACATACCAGGAAAAATACAGATAGGTAAATTAAAAAGCTGTTCAGTACCTTCATTCACTTGAAAACTGCAAATATATATCAGAGCTGGCAGCGTTAACAGTACAGATTATTTTAATTCAAATATATCCATACAGAGACTGGAATAATATTTATTGAGGATGGAAGAGACAGTCCGCAGGCACAGACGGTCTGCAGAAAAGTCTGAAAAATATGCAATGACACTGTCTACAATTCTGGTAACAGCAAAACTGTTTGAGGAACAGCTTCGCAACACACATCTATGGTTATTAGAAAAGGTGATCGTCATGATTTCAAAACATGCTCTGTAACAATCAGCTTTAAAAGTTCTGGATTACATGGTCATAGCATGTACATAAACAATGTCTGTCAGCTATTCATGTTCTCTTTTCTTCATCCCTTACGATGTCTGCACATTGTAATGTCTGTATTTATAGAGTTCTACCATAGCAGCTCTACAAGAAAACAAAGTGATTCTTCCGGGTTAAATATTAGGCAGACTGAAGAAGTAGGATGTTAGAGAAGAAAAGCATACAGCGTTTCTGGAGTGACTAGGAGGAATGCCGAATATCCACTAGGGCCATTTAGAATCGCTTGTGCTCGGTGCTCCTGGTCAGCAAGCAAACCTCATCATATGCAGTCTCCTAAATAACTTCTTACCGTGTTGGTCGCTCCCACTGAGTTGTTCGTGTAATATGATTTAAATATTGGATCCTTCCAGAAGCAGTCCTCCGCTCCTCCCACCTAGAATTCAGACATTGAGAGATAAGGCCATGAGTGGTATTTCCAGGAAACCAGGGCACAAAATGTTTCCAACATAAATTCCAACTCAGGAAGACTTACACTATTATGAATCATGTTAGCTGAACAAGGTAACAGGAAACAACTGAAAGTTCAACTCAGAATTGATTTTACATATTCTTCCCTTGGAACTAGGCATATCATTCACAGTATCACACCTTCATGTTCGATAACTATTTGAATTCTAGTTAAACTCCAAACAGCCATATAAAGAAACTTCTTGAAAACATCATGTTTAATAATGCATTTAATTTCTTTTGACCACTGATTCTAATAACTGCTTTCATAGTATCTTCACGTACTACTTGCTTTCATTAAAAAGTCACCTTTGAATAACATGACTTTTTAATTATTAATACTTTTGCACTCCAAAATACACGAGGCTATACAGCTAGCTTTGCAGTTACACAATTAAGTAAGCAATATTTATACAAGGAACATTTTGAAGTGAAAATTTAAAAGCATTTTTCAAAAAAGTTTTTTGACTTCTCCAGACTACAAATTAACAAAAGAATGCTGTTTAGGACTTAGATGATAATTTACGTTTCAAAATTCATCATCTGAAAAATCAGTTTCTCCTGTCTTTACCTGCCAAGAATCACATTCAGAAGGTCTGTGTTTGCTCTGAAAAAGTTGATGACAGCACCAGAACCTAAAACAGAGCATTTTTCTGTATTCGCAAAACTGGTTTAGGTGTTAATGATGTCATTAACTCTCACAGGGACAAATCAAAATCCTAAACCCAGCCTTTGGCAGGTAAATACAGCAAGAACTCAGGCTCCATTACCTTTTCCAATCATGTTTTCTTCACTATGATTTACATGGAAGAAAAAGTGATCCATTTTTTTAGTAGTGTATACCTCTGCACAGCGCTGTAGAAGGCAGCCAGGCCTGTGTGTTCACTACCTTGCTACAAAACTACTATATGGATGAAGTCAGTTTGCTGGCTGTGAGTTAACATTATATTAGTTTATCAGTTCTATAATTTGAAAGACATATGTCTTCTTAGACAAGTATATTTTTAATGCATTTACTCATATATGCCACCTCCCGTTTTCCAAGAAGAGACAAGACAAGGGTCAAACTCTTAACTGCTCTGTGTATCCTAGCTGACTTATCTCCTGTTCTAAATTCAAAACTGTGGAACTCTAAGTGCGAGAATAAAAATAAATTAACCTATTTGAACACTGACTTCCATTACTGCAAAAGTCTGTGGTATGAGCTGTATTTGTATTTACGTCACAGTGATGCCGGCTTACCCATCTGGTAAATCATTATCAAATAACCGACTGCAATCCACAACTTGTCCTCCTGTGCCTATTCGGTCTCTGGACTGAAGACTTACTATTAAGATAATAAAAGAATTATTAAAGATACGACATCTGCATGCAAATCAGTTATATTTGAAAGAGAAATGGTACAACTTGGAGTACTAAGCTGAACCACGTTCTGGATATTTTTTCCTTCCCACAAATCAGAGTTACACAGAAACAGTGTACATTTTCACACATGTAATTATCTACGTCTTACTTCAAAGAAGTTAGCTTAAAGAATATGAATGCAAGTTAAGGCAGAAAAAGAAGTTAACTGAAGCTGTCATTAACTTTTCTCAGTACGAGATGGACGGACTGTGACACTCGTCTGGCGGCAGCAGGGTGACTAACCTCACGCATGGCTGGGACAGCAAACAGGACAGTGCTAGTGCCACACTTGCATGGCTAACTGGAGAACTGCTAATAGAAAGAGCTGAAGAAAGAAATTCCTGTATGATTTTGCCCCTTCTTATGTATTTTGTGTGCACTTGGGATTCACACACATGTACACACACGCACACACACAAAACCAGGCAAAATTTAACTGCTAGAAGCACTATGCGTTTGGTTTATTGGCTACTTTCAAACACCAGTGGTAAGAAGTCAAATGCAGCTCTCACACAAAGCAGCACTCAGCACCCTGAGAAGCCCCTAGTGCCCTCAGCAAAACTGTGTTACTTTTTTTTTTTTAATTTTTTTATTTTTTTACATGTTTCATTGTAATGGATATTTATGCCTGAAGCTTTTGTACTACAATTATGAAACCAAAAATTTTTTAGGCAGCTTTTGTTCCCGGTATCATAATTTGCAAATGTCCAACCTGATAATTTATGACACTTGTGTTCCTGTGGGGTTGGGGTTTTTTTTGATGTTTTGTTTTGTGTTTAACAATAAAATGATTGCTTAAAAAGCTAAATAAGTGCTGTGGCACATATTTCTTGAGGTGGCACTACTGTACCTCTGGACAACAGTCTTCAAGTCCTATTTATGTATGCAGTGAAGTAAACTTACAGACCTTAACCTAGACACAACCAAACTTTTGTCAAGATCACAAAGTTAAAAAAGATGTAGTAGTACTGGCAGTTTTTGCCAGAGAATCCAAATCTTCAACAACAACAACAACATGTTTTGAAGCTTAGGAACTGGGGCCTTCAACAGACTAACTCAGGGAGCCCTGCAGTATCTGCTTGCTTTATTCCTAATCAATACTGACTCCTAGTCTTCCACAAACACTAATGTTACAAAGCAACTTCTTAGAGGAAAAGACACCTTAAATTTAATTTCAACCAAAACAAAATCTTAGATAATATATTTATTCTGCAACGAATTCACACATTACAAGTTCACATTGCTGCATGTAGGCAAGGTTTGGCAAGCAATACACACAGACAAAAATGAAACTAAACAAAGGCAATTACCTCCTCTTTGCCTATGTGAGGACCAAAATTTGTGCACGGCTTCATTTTGTAATGAGTAAGGACTCATTTTTTCTGCACCGCCACATCAGAAATAAAATGGTGGCACAGAAGAGAGCTGCAAGATTAAGACACAGTTCAGGTGCCCTTTGCATCCACTACTCACAAGTGTCCCCTTTTCTTCCCCCCTTTGAAGACAACCCCCGATATTTAAGATAAAGATCCCCTTGCTCCCTGTCCCAAATTATAAAGGCATACCCACTGTGTACTTGATTTGTAAGGTTATCACCTGCTGAAGGTATCAATTACATTTTAATATTGTTTTCCAATCTTGCATAGCCTCTTAATTTAAGCCAGTTTATCATTAAAAGGACTGACAGTATATTTATAAATTCTGTCTTCTTACTTTAAATCAAGATTTCTCCACCATGTAACTACTGCAGTGGAATCATCTAGTTGTACTTAGGCTCATTCACCCATTCAACAAAATTGCATTACTGAAGAAAGATTAAAATATAAGGAGATTAATAACGACAATTTAAATACAAAAAGACAGAAGTCTCTGGAATCTTACCAAGGATGCATTAAATTAAAACACAGCCATGACTGAGGAAACATGACCTTTCTGATGATAACTGCAGAAAGCAGAACATACAGATTTGTTCTCAGCCTCCTCTGTAACCTGACAAGCTGTGTTTTTTCTAGGTTCAATGCACGATCCAGCAGCTCCTGCTAATTACAGAGAGCCCCAGCAGCATGCCAAAAGAGCTAATGCTGCTTTGGCTATACCACTTTCCATGATCACATCAGGTTAAGCCAAGTGGTCAGTCTAGTTTATGCCCACACTGCTGACTAGTTATCTCTGACAACTAGTTATCTCTGAAGTGTATTTGCCATGTCCACACTGCATGGTATTTGTCCCAGGCTTCCCATCTGGCATCCCAACAGCCTTGAGACCTTTCTTGGTCTCACCTTTGGGTGTTGGGTTTTTTTTTTTTCTTGTTTAATTAACACTAGCATTCTAAGTCATGATGACAAGGATGCATGTTGCATACTCTGGAGGGCAGCATGAGAGCACGTCATGGTGCGAGGGTACAGTCCCTGCTAGTGTCATGCCTGAAGGACTGCTGTGGGCAGAGATGATCTCTGCTGCTCTGAGCAGACCCTGAACAAGCTCTCCCATCAGCTGAGCTTAAGTCTCCTCTTAAAAGAAACCCCACAAACAAAATCGCATGCATACAGCATGGATGATCAAGGAACAAGTATACTGGAGCAAAACCAAAAACCAAACCAAGCTGGCAGCATAACGCACCCTAGAGAAACAACCTCTACTCTTCTGTGCAAGCTCACATGGAAAATTTAATATTCAAGAATGGTCTGAAGTGTCAGCAATGCACTTACAATTCCACATTTCAACCATCATTTGACTCTCCTGTGCCACCTCACTCTTATCTTAATACTGTGCAAACACTTGCAGATCAGATGCTAGACAGATGGTTAAAGCAACATAAAGAGGTAAAGTCACAGCTATTATTCAACAGAGCACTTTGAAGAAAGCAAACAAATGCACTGAAGCCCTTATTTGCTGACTGATATTTCAATAGTTTTCCCTGGCTGAAAAAACAAGAACGCTGTTTCGATATTATTTGAACTAGGACTTGAACATAAAACTGAGCATGCAAATTCACTTTTCTTTCCCCCCGTCCAAATATTCTCATTAACATCTTGCCATAAAAATAAAGACCTCCTGATCGTGGCCAACTTTTTTTTGACTTCTTAAGTGACCTACTAGAAATGCTGCCTTCTGAAAGAACTTAAAATGCACCAAAAAGAGAGTGTTTATGAAGTTGGTTGTGGATACTTGTTTTTCAATTTGCCAGCTTCTTTTTAATTCCTAAGTTATTTAAGGTTTATGAGTTAGCAGAATGACAAAGCACAGTTACTGAGATTGGTGACAGACTTGTTAATAACCCGTGAAAACACAAATTGAATTGAGCAAGTCATCCCAGACAGCAATTCACTCCTGTTGCAGCAAGATGTTTTATCCTTTCGCAAAACCTACAGGAAGCACAGCTTTGCTGGAACTCTCAATGGCCAAGAAATTTGTAGTCAGTTTTTCACAGGGAGTTCAGGCCCTAACTGTCACTAATCTTTGGAGTGAAATTAACAACTTAAAAACTTTCTAAATGAATTTGTATTATCTATGGTCTTATCTGTCCCAACACTTAAAATAATATTTGGAGGGTTTTGTTTTGGGGTTTTTGGGGTAGTTTTGTTTTGTTGTTTGTTTTTAATTCTCTACATACACAATTCTAGCTTGAGGTCCAAATGGCTCTGGCACTAGACAATGAATTTGGGAAAAAAAAAAATCAGTACAGAAAACTGACATCTAGGAAGGGTATTTCTATAGCTACTACAAAGCTCCAAGAGAACTAAAAGAACAAAACCCTTACTTACCTACTATCTGTCCTCTAACAGTATCATTGTCATTTGGCCCAAGCTTGCACAAATCCAATCTCTGATCTACAAAACAAGGACACAAAGCATTAAGTCATACAATATTTTGCTGCCTTTGAAAGCCACACTGAAGTACCATCAGAACAAATTCAGCCTAGTGTAAGATAGATAAGACTTCAAAAGATTGGGGAAGGGAAGCAAAACTAAAAATCTTCAGCCAAGACTTCTTTTTTTGTAATTTTAAATCAGAAAACAAGACTAGAGTGCTTTTGCTTTAACATTTTTCCTACTTCACAAAGCTCTTTTGATGAATAGGAAATAACATTATCCTAGATTGGATGTCCAAAGTGATTGTAAGAAGTATTTTGAACTCTCTTCCCTTGTGAAGACCAGCCACTGTCATCACATGCTTCCAGTTCAACACTCACATTACTACAGCACTGAGCTAACCTGCTCCGTCAGTTCACATGTTCCTCACTAAATAGGTAGAACTTCATAAACTGAGCAAAGCACAATGCACTGAAGCACCGATCTAGTGATAAATATTTAAAAATGAGAACTTTAGTTATGCCTTTATCACCAAGGAACCTTTATTGAAGGCAAAATCACAGCGCTTCTCTACCAAAATGTCACATTTATTTATTTATTTATTAATTATCTGTATAGCCAAGCACTACTTTTCCATCACAGTGTGCCAAATTTTGTTCAAAAGTAAATGGCATCCATTAGGATAGTGAGAAAACAGCATCTTACATGTTAATTAACTTCTGAAAAAGTAAATACAAAGTGCTTGAAGCACTTAATATCTTACGACAAAATTTACTAATTAATTTTGAAGGCCCATTCATTTTGAAACTACAAATTTGGCTTCAGGATAGATTTACCCTTTTGTTTACCCCTTAAGACTTGCATTTTTAAAGGTAATAAAAAGATAACTCGAATGTAATTAGAATCTGTCTTCCTTTGGAATTCCAACACAGTAAGCTCAGTCTTGACAATCCACAACCAGACTGTGGCACTAAAGTTACCACTGTCTATGGTAACGGGGCAAAGGAGTTGAAAAGCCAAAGGTAAGTTACATTCTCTAACCTACTCGAGCTATCCTCAGCCACAAAACACTGTTACAAACTACCAAAACAATTGGAATATACAAGCTTTATAAAAAAAAAACAAAAACGCAATTAAGTGTCACTCTTCAAAAGTCTGTGCACGAAAGTTTGGTCTGAAAGAGAAGAAACTCTAGTCTTTAGCTAACTTACAACCAGTGTCTTTAAGGCGGTTGATTGCATTTGAAAGAAGTCTCACACAACCCAGAAAGCCGGCTCCCTGCTTTTTATGAATTTTCTTGTGATTCCACACACTGATTGTTATTGAATCCGACTTCCCAATATATCTGAAAAATGTGGAAAAACAGTATTGTGAATGGCACTTACTGAATACTTTGAAGATGCTCCAAAAATCACCTTGGGGAAAAAAAAGATTATCAACCATTACGTTAAAAATTTAACACATACCGTATTGGCAAGAGAGAGTAAGTCATCTTCAGATAAAGTGTACACATTATACTTTAATGAAAGCATGTCTTATGAAGGACTTTACTTGAATACAAACTAATCTAAAATCCTGATTCTGGACAAAGGCATTCATGTAAATCCAGTCTACCAAAATCAGTTTAAAACAGTAACATGACCAGGCTGCGGGCTGGCCCGGTGACCGCGTCTCTTTGAGCGGCTACAAACATGCTTAGATTCATGCCTATGCTCAGCCTAACCAAAAAGAATGGCAATGCTTGTGGCAGCATGTGTTTGTGAGCAGCGCTAGCAGGCAGAGCGGTTCAAATGCCAGGACAGAAACTATCAGTTTAGCATCCTTTTGCAGCACTTCATCTGCCGCTGCTTTTCAGGCTACTCTTCCAACCACTGGCAATGCAAGTCACCCTCATTTAGAGCTCTTCTGAAAATATAAGGAAAATATAAGGCAAACCTAGTTACACATCTGCAGTTAACAGATCTTAGGGAAGCTAATTTACTATTAAGAAAGCTTCAGAAAGTCCCTGTTTATAACATACATTACATGTTACGAATATGACCCATTACAAACAGATCATACAGTATTTTAGCTGAGATGTGCCACGTTCCCCTCCTGCCCCCTGCTCACACGTGGACTGCCTCCTTGCAGCATTACCATGGAAATGGTTTGCAAAACCTAGATCTGCATTTCACTGACTTGGGGAAACATGGACACTGTAGGCTATTCTGGTTTTGTTTTTTTGTTTGAAGCTTTGTTCTTCAGAAGCAATTACTTTGTGAGCTAGTTTTTCTTTCCAAAACTTTAGGAGGACAATTTCAAAACGCCTAAGACAAATCAGCTATTGCCAATACTGAATTATTATAGTTATTTCAAGTTGAAGAAAATGAATTTGTAACTATGGCTTAGATCCCAAGAACTGCTTGTAGTTCTCCCTTCCCAGACCACAAATTCTGGCCTTCTGCAATTTAGTTCCAAGTGCTTTTTTGTTTGTTTTTGAAGGAAAACTGATCAAACAAACTCAACCAATACATCTCCCCCATTGACTGAGACTTCATTGGCTTTAAAACATCTTAATATTTTCATAAAGATAGAAATGATACTGTCAAGGTTGGCAAACCAAACAATTGAACTAACTGTCATGGCTTAAAATTGTAGCTGTGACCAGGTAAGTTCTCAATTAACACTTCTGCCATTTTTCCTTTTCCAAAAAGCAGAACTTTGACAACTTCTTTTTCCCACCTGCAGACAGGGACTGACCCAAGAAGTAGAAGACAGAAAAGCCTAATTTTAGGCACATACCCATGAGCATGGCTTAAAGTAACCAGTGCACATTTGAAACAAACAAACAAAACACAAACTTCACACAAAAAAAACCCCAAAGTTTTTTGAATAGTAAACTGATTGCATAATATAGGTCAGGTTTTTGGCCTTACAACCTTGACAATGCCAATTTTGCGTAAAGAAACGAGAGATGAAGATGGGTATTCACGTGCACATTTGCAGTCTACAATGTTTCATGTACTTAAAATAAATTCTTATGAAAACAAGTTAGGTGCACTTAAAAATAAAGACTTATCATGACCTGTCTTGAATTTTCCAGTTTTCCTTGTTGCTTTAAAAAAGTCAAAGGTATATGGTTAAACACAATTTCATAACAGAACAGTTTGAATAATATGTAGAACAGCTGAATATACAACACACTTTCCAAGAATTACTGTAACATTTCAGGGTGAGGTTCTCCTGGTTGAAATGCAGACAGTAAGCCATCCATACCAAACAGGTGAGAACTTCTATATTACTACTGTAACCTACTCTGATTTTTGCACCAGAAAACCTGGCTGATTCACACATTTAAAGGAAGTAAGCAAGACAAGCTGCATTTTCCAAATAAAAATGTCTTTTTTTTTCCAAAGGAAGAAAAGAAATAGTTCAGTAACTGCTAGTTGTCTTTACAGCAAGATGTTTCATCTATATTTCTGCATAATTTGAGGCATGAAAATACATGGTTGCATTTAGAGAGTGACGGTAGGACAAGCTGACATTTCCAATTCATTTGGTGGATAAGTTACATTTGTTTTACATCATCTGGCAATAAAGTTCCAACATAAAAGCCTGAGCTAGGAATTTTATTTTGTTATTAAAAAAGAATGTTCCAGAAAATAAAATGAGTAAGTTCAAAAAACCCCTAAACAACACACCAAAAACACCCAGAAACAAAAACCATGAAAATACCATTTTGTTGGATGCCTCTCTCTTCCTCCTCATAATTAAAAGTTCTTGGAGTTTTTGTGTTGGTTGTTTTTTTTTACTCTACCCTATCAGTAATATCTATTTCACAGCTTCAGTACTTCAACAGAGATAACAGGATTAGTATTAATGAAGTGGAAACCTGGAAATTCAATTTCCATATACATTTTGTTAACTCCCATATTTCCTGAATCTGTGAAATTAGGGCTCTGCGTAAGAATTGTGTGTTTGGAAATTTTAAGAAAAATGCCTACTCTTAGCACTTCCACTGCTAAACAAAAATCAAGTATATGCCATACTGGAAACCTCTAAAATATTTTAATGAAATTTTAAAACACAGAGACAATTGTTACTTTCTCTAAATACAATTATCTTTGCCAAGGTGGTATTTCCTTCTGAGCCAATATACCACTCAGGAAGGTTTGGTATCAAGTGACTTTTCATCCCCATGGCATTTTCCCTGAAGAGTTCAGCTTGGTAGAGAAAAGCAGAATGAAGAAAGTGGAAAAAAAAAAAAAATCCTGAAAAAACACACCTCTTCCTGATCACAAGCCAGATGTAGTCCCTCCAGAAAGAGAAAAATGCAACACCAAGAGGTATGAACCCAGGCTTGGAAGCCAGGAATTCCCTATTTCTAATCCGTGCTGTCACATAGACTCTTTTTATGACCTGGAAAATTTACTTACTTTGTTTCTCCACTTTCCCGTTTCTGAAATTTTTCTAATATAATGGTAGTGTTATGCTTTGAGATATCCACTGTTTTGAAACTGGGGGAGAAGAGGGTGTGAAGAGACATAATGAAAAATATCATCCCGATTTTTAACTCTTCTCTCTTCCTTCACTCTGACATTGCTGTCATCTCTGGTAGCAACTGCAGGGTGTTTGAACCTCTGGGATGGTCAGAAGAGAACCACCCAGAGGCCGTGGCTTAGACAGGAACACAGCACAGACACGTGGCACTGACTGCCTGCTCCTTTCTCCTCCCCAGTGCTACCCAGCCCAACGTTGAGCTGAGCCTACAAGACACTGTAAAAGCAGCTGCACCAAGCAAACAGCAAGCAAGGTGGGCTTTTACTCCAGATGTTCCTAACAGACCCACCTAAGAAATTCAGCAAAGACTTGTACGCCTGATGGGCTTGAGCTGGAATGGCCAGATCTGATGATATGGGCCAAACGTGACCCAGAAATGCTTTCACTCTAAATGCAAAGGGCATCAGCTTCATCAAACTGGTCTAAACAACCACGTCAAGAAGGCAAAGCTGTTGCAAGGAGCTGTTTGACGGCTCTTTAGGAGTCTAATCTAGGATGGGATTGTCTAAACCAGCACTAAGCAGAGCTGTTGCCTTCACTCCCCCAAAAAAATCCAGGATCATTAGCAATAACTAGGCAAAGTAGAGTTGGAGGGTTGGAGGAGAAAGGTGATTCTGCCAGGGCAGTGCAGGGGCTCGAGAACGTGAAGGCACCAAACAGCACTAGAACCTGCAGCGAGGAGATTTTGGGAAGAGGAGGAGTTGCAGAAATTGGGTGACGTTACATTTGAGAGGTATAACAAAGGAGAGCAACGAGTCCATGCTAATGCCTAGGGGTGCACATTTGAAGGGCACGGAGTGAAGATGGGACCAGGACTAGGTTTTGGTGGAGATCATGGTACCAATATCTTTTAGAGATAAATAGACCATAGGACTTGCTACGCGTTAAGGGCAGAGGCTGCTGAGGAGGGCTGGAGTAGGCACAGGTGAGAGTGGGAAGGCTGTAGGAGAGATCTATGCTATCACAGAATGGAAGAAAGGGGGAGGAAGAGAAAAAGGGGATTTGTTAAGTTTCAGAACTGCTGGTTTAGGTGGTGTTTAAACGCTTTGAATGCAAGAAGGTCTGTAAATGTGTTAAGTCTGGTTATTCAAAGCTTTGAGGAAAGGCCTGAACAATAGGGAAAACATAAACAAGACTGAAAATAAGGAAGGGGAACACATCCAGGGCAAGCATGGTATTTTACTGACATTAAACTGTATCCAGACAGCAACTATTCGGCAATTTCTTTCTGGAAAGCCTCCCAGATTCCCCCCCGCCCCCATCTAGGCTGAAGAATCTAAGCAACTAACTAATTCAGCTGCTTCCTTTCACACAAATATCTGAATTAAGAACCATGTAAGGCAAAAGCAAAACCTTTTTTGTTCTTTGTAACGCTGCAAGTCTTTTAAAAAAAATCTTATACAACAGAGTATCTATTATGCTGAATCAGGTTAGCAAGCCACAAAATTCCCTTGGAATTAGCAACTTAATTCAGACAGTATTGCATAAATACATCACAACAGATCCATCTTACTGTGCTATTTGCATATGCCATCACATGATACACGAGACTGTTAATTAGCAGCAGTGTTAACCTGCTATACAAATTCCAGGCGGGGGACACTTCAATCAGCCTAACACAGCCAAGAGACAGTTTTACTGCACATAAGCCTATTACAGTTATTTAAAAACCAACAGAAACCTTCATGCTAGGAAAAAAAAGCAGGATTTTTCTTTTATAAAATTCTATATAACGGCACCTTCCTCTGGTTGATTTCCTACACTGTGTGGTGGCAGGAGCAGGCAAGCTGCCACTGAGACTCCATCTGTTATCCTTGGTGTGCAAAGCATTTCCTGTAACAGTGGAAGCGTCATAAGGCAGAGACTAGTGTTCCCATGCAATGGTGTGTTGTTAGGGTAAACATTAGAAAGTTTAAAAACCCTACTATTTTCAAAGGATGAGAAGACAGATTAAGTTCTGTAATCTATGAGGTTTGCCATCAGGTGCTTAGCAGTAGGGTAGTTACTATTCCTATTATTTTTCTGTGGGGTTTTTTTTTTTTTTCAAAAGTAAAAGTTAATATCTGGTGCAGCGGAAAAGCTGAGACCTGACGCCAGGTATATTACAGTAAAAAGTTACCTTATGATAAAAGCCAGGGAGTAAGTTGTCGTATCAAAGAGATCTGATCTTTTGCTGCTGTTTTAAATAGGAACTGAAGACTAGGTGAGTGATGTTTATAAATGGAAGTAAATTTCTGTAGAGTAAGGAATAACAGGCAAGACAATAAAAGGGGTTAAATGATTATGAAGAAAATTTTGAGAGGGAAAGGATTATTTTCAAATTACAAGGCCTGACATAAAGCGAAATTTTACTTCGAATTAGGAATGCTGTGTATTCTTCTGTCATCAGGGAATTCAACTGCCAGAATCAAACGAAGTAGTTTTCCCTACAGGACAAGTAATTGTATTGAAAATAATATCCTAACTAAACAAAATCTAGGTTTTTTTAGGGATCTTCTTCCCAAAAAAGAAAACAAACCAAAACCAAAAAACCACATACACAAAAAAAGTATTTCATGCAGGTCTAAATTCCTTGGGACAATCCAACAAGAGATGCCCCAAAATCTGCCTGAGCAAAACATTCTGCCAGAAACCCCATTTCTCTCTCTGCTTTTTATATGTTGTGGACTGCAATCACAGTCTTGCTTCAAAGCTAAGACAACTACAGTATCCAGATACAACTATGACTTGTTCCATAGAACAACGTCAAAATACTTTCTCTTCATCCTTCCTTCAAAATTATAACCAGAAAGGAATTTTTTCTAAAGATTTTACTATTTTTTTCCACTACTCTCGTTCCATATTAACATCCTCCCTCATTTCCCATGTCCTCTGCTCCTTCTATTCTCCAGAAGGCAACCAAGTCTCCAAGTCATTAGCCCATGAAGCACTTGGCATCCCTTAAGAACCACTCCTGTCAACTGCTTACTTGCACTGTCACCACAGCACTTCAAACACCAAGACACTGGCAGATATTGGGGAAGACGCAGGGAACTGCTGACATTTGCAACGCAGGATTTAGTAGCAGACAACTGCCAATGATGGCCTACCATTCCTTCTTCAAAAGTATCCCTTCCCTAACCTGCACAAAGATTACAGGAAGGCTTTACACTCAGTCATGCTGGCAGCACTTTCCACCTTACTCTCCTTTTATCCCTGTAAAGCAATGCATTAATGCTCATTAATGGAACCACCTAACTAAATAAAAGTCTGTGCTCACATTTCAGGGACTTTTCTTTAGCTCTTGTCTGTCAACTTCAGTTCCCGTCAGCAGCAGGAGAGCATCGGTGGTAATCAGGGGATGCACCTTGTGGTTCAGCTTCATCCAGCGCAGTGGGGTTCATGTACGCTAAGACCATTTCACGAAGGAAACCGCAACACAGCAAGTGGGGATGATCAAGAGACTCCCTACAAAAGCTCACTCCTGATGCAAGCTAACAAGCTAATGCAGTCACACCGTTACTGACCCAATGCAACTCAATCAGCAAAGATTACACGCACTTTTTTTTCCCCTACCAGCTACCTTCCTGTGGGTTAAGTGAATTGAATCCATTTACCCAGAAGCCAGATGGAGCCAGGGCAAGAGAAGCAGCATGAACACATGCAGTAAATTGGGAAGGGGGTTGAAGCAGGAGAGAAAGGGGGCTTTCGATTTTTGGTGGCAGCAAGCTGCAGTATCAGTGCAATCTACTCTCAAATTTCACCATTAGGACGCTGCGCTGAGTATTAACTGCTGGTGGGGGGAAAAAAAAAAAAAATTGTTCGAGCTAGATGGATGGTCAACCTTGAAGAGGACGCAGAAGGGCAGAGGTCTGAAATCTGCATTCTAGATGAATCAACATTTTGACTGTTTTAATAAAATTAAGAAATCAAATTAACTTAGAATTCTTCAAATATGAAGAAGAGCCATTCCTTCTACATGAACTTAAACTTGTTTTATATCCATTTTTCTAATGAATATGAATTAGTCTCACATGCAGAATCTAAGCTTGGACTGAGTTGGAATAAAACTATAAGGATATAACTTTCCTCAGGGAAAGTGCTATTATTTCACTAAACTGCCAATGATATTTTGTTAAGCAGTAATAAAAATGTTTTGTACACCGCACTAAAACATAATGAGCAATGACTTCACATATTTAGTCTTGGATATTCAAATAATGAGTAGGTGAAGACATCACTTTAAACCAGGCCTTCCACATTCTGCTGAAAGACCTATCAAGCTGCTTTTCTTCACTGGGAAAAGGGGACACAAGAAATTCTCTGTTACTAACACTTGATTTGCTCTATGTTTGGTGATGTCCAAAGCCAACATAAATATGCTCAAGCAATTTCTAATAATATAGATAGGAAATGGAGCCACGGGAAAAAAAGTTAGAGATCAGAACAATGCCTTAGAAAGAAAGGAGAATACAATGAGGCAAAACTGTTCACTTCTCCTCCTCATCTTCCATCCCAAGGAAAAAGATAAGGAAAAAGATAAAGAAGGATAAAAGACAGGGAAAATAAAGCATGCACAAAGAAACCTATATAAGACATAAAAGCTTTAATGACTTACGTTATACAGAATATTCTATGCTTTAGAAAGACAGGAGAAACATTACATATACATGCCATACTGAAGATATTGCTCAAAAGCACTGAAAGATGCTCAAGTGATGATAACAACGGAACAATTTATAGTGAGAAGAACATTTGGGACAGAAAATGACATAAAGGTGAGAAAACTGAACAAGAGGCTTACAGGAGAAAAGACACAGTAGCACTGCAACAGACAAAAACAGTGTGAAAAGAAGAGCGGTTTGAGGGAAATATTGTCAATTTTTTGCTACATTTTACAGAAGTGTTAACATGAAAATATTACAATAAAATAATGCTATAGTACATATAAAGCATGTTGCAGACATCATCACTAGAAAACCAAGTGTAGTGTTTAGATTTTGAGGGAAATGAGAAAGTGGTATTTTGACACATGCATTTTTCACTCAAACTAATAAACTCTGGGATATTTTCCAAGCTGTAAATAGGACAATATTATGAACATCTGACAATGTCTGTGTACTTTAGAGGATTTCACTTCAAACCTTTGGTTATCACTGTTACCACCTACAGGTCATAATGCTGATTCCATTTTGGATCAAGTGTATTCTTCACAGTATCTGTAGAATGGCATTGGCCAGATCCGTCCACCACAACCTTAGCAAATGGATCAGGAAGTCCTAAGAGGAGGAAAAGAAAAAAGCTAGCAAATGGATCAGGATGCTTTAAAGTCCCATATCATTGCACTTTTTTTTTTAATATTTTATTTGAAGTTGCCTTTTAGTCCGAAATGAGAGAAATAGCAATTTATTTCACTGATACAGATCAAGAAAAAGTTACGCAAGTCAAACATGTTGGGGAGAAAAAAATCTGAACACCTTAATCTTCCTAATTCTGAAAACCTCCTAATACTGAGTAAATTCTCAGTATACAAAGAATTCAGCAAAAGGCAGAGAAAACAGATTAACATTCTTCCTATTTTTAAGATTCATTATAATCATGATTTTGGTTGTTATTGGTACTACAGGAAACCATCTATAGCAGATCATTCTCGCTTTTCAACTCCACTTTGTCTTCTGCTAGCTTTCTACTTCACTTTCTGCTAGCTTAGTACCTCAAAAACACTCAACAGGCTCAGCTGATCAACAAAAATCATTACAAAGACGATGCTGGGCTACACAGCTGAGGACGGGAAAGAAGCAGGACCAGAGCAGCCTACAATTAGCTCTACTGCAACTGCTATTCTAACCAACCTATTAACCGACACCAAAAGGGATGGTCCCACCACTAATGCCCCTAGTCATGCAGTCCTATCCCTTTTTCCCCTCATACTAATTCCTCCCCTCATCTGAGTCCCCAGTGAGTCAGCTGAAGGAACTAAGGTGGTGAAACATTATTCACATTTTCTGTAGCTCAAGTTTTGTACCAGTTCCACTTGCTCGGGTGACTCACGAGTCAAGCAGCAGAGTGGCTCAAGACAAGTGTCAGACAAGCATGTGGGGATAAAGGCAAAGCACGTGAGGAAGGGGAGGAACAGGAGCTTGTGAGATTTGCGCTTCAGTACAGAAGTGCATCACAGATTTCAAGTCTTGAGGGGTTTTTTTAGGCATTATTAAACTGTTAAACACCTGAAAACTTGCAATCAATACAGAAATCAAGATATAAAGCAAGTTTTAGAAGTATCACAAATTACAATAAATTTCTCTATCATCCCTTCTTCAAGTTCTTCCCAAAGTTCAGGTCTGATCTTTCAAATTCTTCCTACTCCCACGTGGGAGGTGGCAGGCAGGTGATCTGTGTGTGCATGCCTACACAGCCAATAACATTCCTTTCTGCCTCCTTCATCTACCTCTTAGCACTTCTTTCAAAACATTATTAAAATTCATTAAAATATAATTTCAGAGTAGGTGAGTATTATGACAGGATTATTAATAATTAAGATGTACATCTGTCTGCTGGACAAAAAGTTCTTATATGAAAAACATTTTAATAAATATGTGGCACTAATTGAAAAACATGTAATTTGTCTGAGAGAGAAAATTTGTTTCCCACTCCCACCAAAAACAGAGAGAGTGTGTCAGTGTTTTAATTATTATGTGTGACAAGTGTCACTTAAAAAAAATGAGAAGCCCTGAAATAAAATGGTGTGAAAACATCAAAGCCCCCAGCCCCCTTAATGCACATATCTTAATACAACGATCATGTGCAAACACTGATGTACAGCACCTGCAAAATATTTATCCCGTCTATAAACAAATAAAACTTTAACAGCTACTTACGGAAAAAATCCTTTTTCACCAAGTTTTTTGCACACAGTACTGTAAGAAAAACAGAAATAGAAAATTAAGTTACTGATTCCCAACTTTTTAAAAAGTTACTTTACCTGTCCAGCATTCCAGAAAATCCTGCTCAAAATAAAATGAATTAACATAAATGAATTGTGCTCCTACATCATTTATATTGTCATGTAAAATAATTCCTGAAAGCTGAGCCAGAAGTGTCATCTTTTGGCAATTTACCTTTAGGTAGGTTATAGTGGAAGTGATATGGTAGTGTTTTCCTCAGGCAATAGTTTCACATGCAAATTTTTTTTTTTTTCTCAATGGTTTTCCCAACTCTGTGTTTACCTAGTGAGGAAACTGGACCATTTCTAACTAGGTCACCATACAGTGGCACAAACAATTGCGCCAGTAAAATTAGTGCTGTTACACAAACAGGGTCTTATGCTCAGTTCCACAGACCAGCAAAAGCTTCCTTGACCGTAAAAAATAGTGCATTAGGCAGGCAGTCCAGGCTTTTCTGTTATCCTGTGGGGTAACTAAATAAAAGATTTTACCTGAGAAACATTTGGGTGGACTAGACCAACTTCAATGCCAGTTTTGATGGCTCCAAAGATATGTTTTATTTGTAGAAGCTGATGATTGTTTCAGGCTTTCTTGTTTAAATTAAAAGGGAGGAACACTTGCGTTTGTTTTCCCCTTGGTATTTTTAGTTGACAATCTCATCGGAGAACAGAGTAGATTTAAATAAATAAATAAATAAATAAAAGGTCAAAGGGGACAAATTTCATATAAAGATGCCAAGGTACACACAGAAGACTTCTCACAAAATGCACCACTGTTCAACGACATAGGCTTATCTATTATCACAGGTTTAGTAAGCAGGAAATACTAGATTCCCCTGTGAAACATTAAAATATTTACTGATAACCCAAAAGGATTCTTGGGTATTAAGTTAATGTGTGAATTCCCACAGCTAGTACAAAAAATAAAAAAAAGTGGGGGTGGGGAAGAGGTATTTGGTTGGAACCAATGCTGCAGAAGACTCCTCAGTGTATGATTCCCTTGGATGTTTTTTCTATGAGATCGCCAGTATTTATTACTACCAGGAAATGCAAAGACAAAAAAGTGCATCCAATAATCACATCCCACAGACACCACCTAAAACAAAACAAAATTGGTCATGCTTTCCCCCCTAGAATATTCTCAAACTGATCCTGCAGGGCTACCGATTCTCCAATTTCTTTTACATAAAAATACTTTTAAATAAAAGTAAACTGAGGTAGTCCATGAGCACTCTCATGGAGATTTCCACGGTCAGGGCAGAAAAGCACTATCCTGAATAGTTCTGCATGCTAGCACAGTCAAAGTTACATATTATTCTAAATCAATGGAATTAATGTTTTCCCAATTTTTATGTTCATAAAGATGGGTGATTTTAGTGAAACTGCTTTCCACGGGAATTCAGCACCGTAAAATGTAGGTAAAACTCTACTTGGGTCTAATGAGTTTTGGTCCTCCATAAAACAGAAGGGGACACCTATTAATGACTACAGGTAGTCATAAAACAATCCCCTGCACATTGACATATACCACAGGAAAGGTATATATAAGCTCCCAGGGAAGTTTCAGCATATTAGTTTGATGCAGAGGGGTGCTAATAACAATACTGTTAACCTGAAAAAAATTGCCTGGTTCCAGGTGGTTATTAGTTTTGGGTTTTTTTAGAAAGATGATAAAGGTAAAAAAAATTGTTTCTCTCCGTTCAAAGACATAATGGTAATCCTAAAGCAGAGCTCTGTTTAAGGGATTTTCACCCAGTAATTCCACTGTAAGCAGTCAACAGTAGTAAAATACTAATAGAGAACCAAACATTTCAGGTATTTCTGATACCTGGAGTTCAAGCATGTATAGGAAACAGATTGTCACATCACCGTCTGCTCCACGAAACATTCAAATAAAGTCCTCAGGATGGTGTAATAAAAACCCACAGTTACTAAAGACTTCCATGTGCCCAGCAATTTAAAGTCTACTCTATCCATACAATTGATAACAACTTAAAAGACATTTAAAGGAACAGATAAGACAAACTTAGAAAAATGCTTCTGCAGTTCCTTAAGATTTTATTACACCAAGAACATCCTCAGCCTGAGCTGTCAACAGACACCACTCACCCAAGAACTGAAAAAGGTTACTGCTCATCTGCCACCTTTCATCTATTGGTAAAAAACTTAAAGTAAAATAGATGCTTATATAGATGGCCACTTTTTAAAAATATCTTAAAGGATATATTTATTTGCACAATTTCACCCATTACAAGAAACGGGAAGCGTCAAGTGAAGCTGAAGGCTTTAAATCCAACAGTTCAGTAAAAATTCATCTATAGCACAGTGAGCCATACAGTATGTTCCTGAAATTGTATAATGTCCAGAATAAGATGTTTGACTAGTCTTTTGAGAGAGAAATTGCAAGGTTAACTAACTATAAACACTTCTTTTCAAAATATTAAGCAAGTCTGCCAGTGCAATTTAGCCGAAGTCTCATTTTTATAAGATTGGGCACATGCACAACATACAGACTAATAGCCGTTTCCCCAACAATTAGCCATGAGTGAACAAACTAATATTTTTGGCTCAAGATTTCCCTCTCTAGTAACCACATTTAAGGAAAGTCACATGTCAACCCACTCTGGCTTTATCAGGTTAACCAAACAGGAGAGATGCTGAGAAATCTTCCATTAACAACACCCTCTCTGCCAGGTATTTCTAGGTGAAAAAGCCCAGGTCCCAGGAGCATCAGCTCAATTCTAAGTGAAACAACCTTCCGCCATGCACAGAGCTCTAATCTACCTCAAGACTTTTTTTGGACAAAACTTTTCCCACTGGTGGGAAAAGTACCACATTTTATGCTCCACTTTTCCAACAATTTCAACACTGTATTAAAACCTATTCTGAATATTCTGATAACCAACTGATTAGTAGTTCCTTGAGAATAAAACTAAGGAAGTTTGGTTTCCTATGGATTTATGTTTTATGGTTGACTGAAAGCTATAGCTGAGGCTTTTCCCACCGGTAAGGCATTTAGACAGACACTCTCCCACGCAGACTCTCCAGTGGTCTAGCAACATGGGATCTCTCGCAGCAGCTTTTTCCTCTCATTTCAGGTCACTGCTAGGGTCTCCTCTTTATCCAGGCAACAATCCGCATAAAACTCATGGCACTTAATTATCTTTGAGGCCTCTATCCTATGTCAAATTTGAGCTAAAGATTCAAAAACCAGAAAGAACCATAGCAAGATTTATTTTCTTTGACAAAGCCAAGTTCGAATGCTGATGGTTCTGGACCCAAACCCACATCATCATCAGATCTGTGGAGTTGCACCATTAATAGATCCTCTAAAGGCACAAAGGCACTGAAGACGGTTATTTTTTATTTCTACGTTCTTGGTTTAAAACACTTTTTATTAAAATTATTTTTAAACAAAAAAAAAAGTTAAGCTATTTACATTTGCACTGAAGGTTTCCAGAAACTAGAATACAAACCAATGCCTGTATATATCGACATTAGTTTGGGGAAAAAAAAAAGGGGGGTGGAGCATTGTACCATAAGTGCATCATCAAAAGACATTAATGGCTTCTAGTACACATATGTAGATAAAATATTTATTACAAAGTATCAATGAGTCAGTGGATAGCTATGTTTTGTATTTATTACGGACTTCCTGGGTAGTCTACAGAAAAGAGAACATTAATATTCCAATATGAAGGAACAATATATACGTGCCAAGACAAACATGCACATCAGTTTTATATACTATACGTTAAATATCTTTTTATCATGCCTTATGATCTCATTCTAACATACGCTACTCAGGTCAGTTCACAGACACCTAAAAACAGCATAATATTATAAGCTACCTAGTCTCCTTCCACGACTGCTTTGCTACACATAGTTCTCAAATACTCAAAAATAGGAATTAAGTGAATCATGTTTGCCAATTTCCTTTTTCTGATTTGTTACTCCAATGACTGCCAAAGAATGGTTTACTGAAAAACAATTTAACTATTGCAAGTAAATGCAAAATATTTAATATCCCCAAACTCCTGTAATCTAATTTATGTGTTAGCTATTAAAATTTACATGCAATTATAAAGAGGGATGAAATAATTGTTTGAACCCACAAAAAAATTGAAAGGAACTACTATTATTGAAAATGTGAATTTTATAGAAAGATAAATATTTATCTCATTTTCTGAATTCCTCTTACTCTTTTTGCTAGCTACTGAAGAACTCTTGTTACGACTGCTTTTTACTTTGGAATCACTTTTACAGAAAAATCAAACTTTTTAGGACATCAAACTGTTGTTATGGAAGGTACCCTATATTACACATTACCACTATTTGATATAAGTATTTAAAAGTATGTTTATTTCTGAATAGTAAGTATATCTATAACACAAGGTCTCCATACTGAAAGGGAAGAACAACATGAAGTGGAAAGGAGAGTGCCATTGTAGGAAGCTTGCAATGAAGACAAGTAAAAGTCATAAAGAGCTATGAGATTTCACAGAATCACCATATCTTAGAGATGATCTAAGAGTCTTCAATGATCCTATTCACCTTCAATGGCTGGATAACAGACCTAGGATGAGCGTTGAGGAGGAAACATTAAGAAAGAAAATGTTATCTGAATTTAAGGAACTTGGACGTTTAAGCGTAGTGATCTTGTATTCAACCCTCACAGGCATTTCCAACTTATATCAAACTGCTTATAGACAATTTGTTCACCACATTCCTTCGTACTCATAGGTACATTTTAGTGTTATGTTACCTGTATGTTTGTACACTCTCATCTGTTATAACGTGTCTCTTGATTTAATACAAATTACAAGGTTTAAGTGTGTTTGAACCCAGCAACACGAGGTATGAGCACCTCAGGGCTACTGTTGTAGACGATCACAACAGAAATATAGTGGGTTTAAAATATCTATACTAAAAAAATAATATTGCTTACACTATCTTAAGTAAAAAATTTTCACT